ACTACCCCAAAACATCTAGAACTAGTCATAAAACCAACCCGACTGCGTCCCACGAGAGAGTACAGCTTAGGTCCCACAACTGCATTTGCTTAATTACCACTCCCTGAATTATTGGACTGACTGTTTGTGGTGACCTATTACAACAGCTACGGTTTTTTTTTTTTTTTTTTTTTTACTTCTCATTTTCAGCTCGTGCAGCCACGCTTCAGTGGGGAAAACTAGTAAAACTGTAATTATAAAAGAGGTATTTGATCAATATACACCTACTTTATCTACTTCTTCGCGTTCACGTGTTGTAAACTTCAGCGAAATGTCCAGGTTGTTCGTCCACTTCTGCTCTTTTTAGTCTTGTTCCAGAACCTGAGTGTTGCATGCACATCTGTTTTTCATATATGATTTATGTGTGTGCAGTTTGTTGGTCCCTTGCCTCTCAGGCAAATGCTCTCCAACTTCAAAAGGAAGACTCCTTTTAGTCGAATCTTACGACATGCTTGTTATGTAGGCAATAGGTCTATTTATTTTGTCCCCACTGTTTGATATCTTGATACATTTAGAAAAATTGAAAATTTTCGACTTATCTCATTGAACTTAAGAATGGGCTAGTGCACTATATAATAATTGTCACCATCCAAATCGAAATATAATTATGAGTGCAAAGAGACACTATTAGAAACACTGTCAAAACTACACCATGTTTAGACTACATAGAACATCAAAGAATGAAATGGTTTGGACATCTAACCAGGATGAAAAATGATCAAATAACATCACAAATTTTCAACCAAAGAAGCTCAGGATATAAGGCAAGAGGAAGACCAAGGAAACTGTGGATTGACGGGGTCTCCGAAACCTGCCAAAAGCATGGCCTCAGAACATCAGATGCTGCCCGCCTTGCTTATGACAGGAACTTGCATCTCCCCACAACGCTTAGCGGCATACGTGGAAGGAAAAAGTAAAGTAAAGTAAGCAAAGAGACAGATTATAAGCAGCATTTTCATTCCAACATTAGACTACAAGTGACAAACATGGACACTATCTCAAGCATGTACGCAGAATCACCACTTGCAAGATGAGATGCCTAAGAAAAGCTGCCAAACTCACAATCCGAGATCGAGTGAACAATGATATACTATCAAACAAATTGTGGGTACGACACTTTGTACTAGATTCATTGAGAAACAGCAGATCAAGTGGTTTACCCATCTCGTTAGAATGCAGTAAGATGAGATACCATCACAAGCACTACATTTCAGAGAATAAGCTACAAGAGAAAGAGAACGGCCGCGAAAAATATAGATCTTCACCATTAAAGACACTACACCTCCACGGCATGACAAAAGCCAATGGCAGCCATCGTGCACTGAATTCCAAGTTATTTCTCCCCGCGTCGCTTAATGACAGAAGTGGTTTATGATGATGATTATGATGATGATGGGCGCAGTGTGTTGCTTTGTTCACATCTAGACGGTAATCATCCTCCTGCCACATCTAGTCAATCGTGTCCAGAGCAACAGCTGCAATTGCTGCAGCGACCCTCTCTTTACAGTGCTAGATGCTTCTTGTTTTCTCATTACCTGTTTCATACTCACAGTCACACAAGATCACACGAAACGAAACTTTTTGGAACATTTTAAGACGCCACTAGTATTTATCCAATATATAGTTCTTTTATAATAACAGTTTAAAATCCCCGCAATCATTCTTTATTACCCTATATTATGTGACTTCGGCACGGACAAAATAAGTAATTATAATTAGCACAACACTAATAAGACCAGATAGAAAACAATGGCCCATGGACAACACAATCCAAGCAGTGGCAGCATTTCGTCAGATGGGAGACATTACATGTAACTCATCCCTGTCAAAGGAAGCCAGAAAATGTGATATCCTATGTTTCATGGATGTGGGCCAAGCACGGTAAATGAATAGGGTAGAAAGAAACATGAGGCCTCAAAGACGGGATTTTTATGCGGAATGCTAAGACCCTCTATCAGTGCTGCAGAACTTTTTTTTTTTTTTTTTTTTTTGTGCGGGGCGGACGAGGGGAGGGGGTTGCGGGAGGGAGAATATTGACATATTTTTGGGTGGAAAAGGTACAAAATCGCACAAAAACGTATCAAATTTGTTTTGTTTTTTTTAAAAAGCCCCAAAAACATCAACGTCATCTTCATTCCTTCTAATCAATTTTCTCCCCAAATGTATCTCAATACTTGACCATGGAATATCCTACCATGCAATGTCTAATATGCTGTAGATTTCAAGAAAATCTGTTTTTAAATCCGATTATATAGCCATACGCCATCTTAATACGACAACGTGCTAAGCCTGTAACTTAAGAGTAATTACCCCTGTGGCTTGCAGTTTATGTAATACGCGACCGAGGACATATAAAGTTTGCAAGGGATATAACTCCTGCGTAATATAACTGAGTGGTTGTCGGTTAATATGCCGAAGCCAAGGCTGCAGAAATGACTGTTTATGTGAAGACAGTAGCAAGAACGTTACCTGTAAGTTTAACCCATCAAGACGTCAATGTAAGGGAGGAGTTATCGCGATATAGCTAGTTACCCTAAAAACACAAGAATTTTGTGTGCGTGCGCGCGTGTGTTAGTGTGTGTGTGTGCGTGCGTTTGTGTGCGTGCGTGAAAGTGTGTGTAGGTTTAACAATAAGTCGTTTTGTTTCGTTTATTTTGCTATACATTTTCATCCGTAACTAGGGACGCCTGCGCGACCGACAAAATAAGCCCGAATTGACAGTTATTGAGAACTCATTTTTCCGTGCTCTTTACGTGAAAGATCAAATCAGAACAATTATTAGGAGTTATTGGAGAGATACTAGGCTTTGACCTGACATGGTTTTGACGCGCATACGATAAATCGATTTTTTTTGGCAGCACGCAGTGAATTAACGGTAAGTAAGTTTGTAAACATCTTCTTAATTAGCTAGATTAGGGCAATTTGTTGTGTATTTTTGAATTCTGCGGTAATTTTTAAAATTGTATCTGAAATTTTACAAAGATTGACTTAGCGCCAATGTTTAAAATTTTTTTTTTAGTGGCATCACTGTTTTTGCTTTAAATCCAATATGTTTGCACTAAAAGACAGTTTTTCCCGCTTTATACTTTACTTACTTAGTCGCTCCTCTTCTACCTTGGGGTGTAGAGGTTTGCCAGAGGGATCGCCAGACATCTCTATCAGCAGTTTTCTTTCTGGCTTTGTTCCATTCCAGTCCTCTGTCAGTTAGGGACTGTCGGATGCTGTCTTCCCAGCGCACACTGGGTCGTCCCGGAGGTCTGGTTCCCTGGTTCTTAGCCTCCCATGCTTGCCATGGTGGCCGATTTTCTCCCATTCTGCATACATGTCCAAACCATCGTAACTTTTCCCGCTTTATAATGAACTTAAAATAATTATTAAATTAGCTAAGGTTATTTTAATTATTTTTTTTTAAATTCCACATCCATTGTAGCATTTTTTCATGCATCTGTCATTAGTTAGAGCTCTGCGTATTTTCTGTTGGATATATATATTTTTTTTTTCTGATCACCCCCCAAATCCCAATTATTAATTTCGGCCATCATTGCGCATTTTGTAAGATGATTCTTTAGTAATAAACTTCAGATGCTTAGTAAATTAATAAGGTTAAGTGAGCTACTTTTTAAACATCTACAACCCTTTCAGCATTTTTTTTCCGTCTGTTATTATTTAGAATCCACGGAATTTTTTGTCGGAATGGGTAAATCTAAGTGGTCGAGAAACAACAGCAGCGCTGACCGCGTTCCCGTCCAACAGGACCAAGAACTGGGTTTCTATACGACACCTTGGGTTAAGATTTTCTAATCTTGTTTATATATATATATATATATATATATATATATATATATATATATATATATATATATATATATATATATAATATCTTTAAAATGGGTAAATGTTTCATTTCGTAACTATGAAATATGTACTATTTATCAATTTTTTTGTGCTTATATATTGCTTGGGTTTTTGGTCAGCTTAGCTTCGGGCTTGACAAAAATCCCACGCACCCCTTCCACGCTTGGCTTTCCGCGTGTGGCTGCTATAGATCCATTTCTTAAATTCAATGCTGGGTGGACATGGGAGTCAAGGTCATTTTTGAAAGAAAAGAAAATCCGGTATGATCTGATTCCCAGAAATGAACACACCTTTTGTGTTTGCCCTGTTTTTAACACTGTCACTGCCCCATGTACTACCAGTGGGCGTATGTTTTCTTCTACCATACAGAACGGAGATTTGAGGGAGGGGAAATAAAAGATTGAGAGAAAGTTGAGAAAGAGGGGGAACAGGAGGAGCAGAGAGGAAGAAAAAAAGAGACTAAGAAAAGAAAAGAAAGTATATATATATATATATATATATATATATATATATATATATATATATATATATATATATAAGGTTTTTGATGAAAAATAATCAGCCCGCGGCCATTTTCATATGTTAAATAGGCGCGTATTGTAGTGTATGTATTTCAGACATGCATAAACAGTTAGGTGTCACTGTCCAGATTCCAGCCATATATGGTTCCTAAGGGATTCGTTCAGAAACATAAAAGTTATGGCCGTAAAAGGCAAACATTGAGTCATTTCATCTTACTGGGTCGCAGCCGGGAATCCATGTTTTGTTAATTTCCACTATAATTTTTCTGTGGTGGTATCCGCCACTAAAATGTTAATATCTCCGCTTAGAATCGACTTACAGGCTTAAATAAGGTACCATTGGAATTGAAATTTTCATCTTTTTCTAGCTGTCATTGTTTCGTAAGTACAAACCTAAAATATAAAACTTCACTAGCATCCCGAGTGTGTGTGTGTGTGTGTGTGTGTGTGTGCGTGTGTGCATATGCGTGTGACTGCACATGTGTGTGTGTATGTGTGTGTTCGTGTGTACACGACGTATAGATAAAGAAACTTGTTTGAAAGATAAACGTTTAGTAGGGCCAAATCTCTTTTAGATTCAGGAAGATCATGGAGGGTAGATCTAGTTTTGGTAAAAAGCATAACAAGACCCACACCTTCTGTCAGAAATGTGGTCAAAGAGCCTTCCACATTCAGAAAAAAACGTGTGCTAGATGTGCACACCAAAATCCTCGTCAGAGGCACTAAATTGGTCCAATACGACCCAGCAGGGGAAGAGAGCTGGTACAGGCAGAATGAATCGCTTGAAGGTTGTCCATAGAAGATTCAGAAATGGTTTCTGTGAAGGAACTGTGCCCAAAGCAAAAAAAAACACGGTTGTTGCTCCAGCTTCATCAGTGTGACGAAATGACCTCAGTGGTCTCAGAAGTTATATTGTGTTTAATAATTTCTTATGTTCAGAGAAGAACAAAGAATTAAAAGCAATAGACACTGAGCCTAAAATAGTTCTAAAACCACTATAAGGGATTTGAGAATTGTTTAAACTGTGTTTTCCCGTCTTAGCCAGACAAAGCAACCTTGCTTTGTGTAATGTTACCTAATACTACTGTAGTTAGAGATTTCACCTGCCCATGTCATATAATTATCTCCTGCCCAGTCTGTAGAGGCAAGTAAAGGGGGAGATAACTTCGTATCACACCTCATATTAGCTCCCCTGAATCCGACCGAAGTGTCATAAAAAGTTACATAACTCAGACTGAGGGGCTCCTTTTGAACAGGATAGATCAGGGGAATTAAGTGGTCCGGTAGACATTTCTAGACAGGCCGGCGTCCAGCGTCTGAAGTTTTCACACCTGATAGTGAAATTCTCAAGAGAACAGATGTTTGGCAATTAGGAATGTTTAATCTTGGTCAAGGTCGTACTGTAGGCCGTTCACTGTGAGTGACAGGCCCATTGATAGCTAGGTTGATCTGCTACGTACCTCAGAGGCGGGGCTTAAGTCATCTCCTTTAGGGTTGGGTAGAACCGAGAAGAGGGTGGAGTTAACCTTGCAGACAGATAGGGGTATTTATTAATAAGACAAGCCCTGGAATTTCTGTCATAATCGCTGCGACAAGCAACAAACAGGTCGACCTTAGAGGTAATTCTAATGGTTTGATTCTAGTTTGGCGATAGCTGGAAGTTTCCAGGTAAGCCTGTACAATTATTTTCAATCTTGTATACATAGGTTAGGGAGTTAGCTAAACTCTATTCTACCTTTTCCTAATTTGTCTACACATTCTGCTTGAAATAGTTCTTTGTGAATATTCAGTATCTCAGTTAGGGAACTGCTAAACCATTTCTATTTCTTGTATGTTTGTGGCACATGTTTTTCAGTGTATGTTTTCATGTTTATAAAATAAGACTTAAAATAAGACTTGTATAATGAAATGTAATGAAATTATACTGTTTCAACCATCAACCAAAACATGAGTTTGGACTGGGAAATGATGCCCACATATGCAGCCATGCTGTTACATTTTGTGTGCCCACCATGTGCTCACCTAATGTGTTCACCTAAACAGGGGATTTATAACCCCAGGGGAAAAATCATGAGTGTATATTATTCACTGTCACTGAAAGATAATATTCAGGACAGCATGCTCGTATAAAATGTTTGGCGTGTTCAGCACATAACCTGCGCCACATGTTCATGTCAAATCAATGTCAGCAAGTTGGAAGTCTGAGTGATGACGGACAACAGAAAGTCAACTATCATGACAGAACCTTAGAGGGAAGGCAGGATTTGTGAGACGTCGGTGTGAGACACAAAGACCTTCAGAATAGACTGGAGAGAATGTGGAATATGAGGAGGAGTGATGAGATTTACTGTATTATTATATATTGTATTAATTGACACATGTATTCTTAGTGTAAGTCAAGATACTACACGTATGTGTTTGTTTCCATTATTACAGCTCCCATGTGGGTGAGGATCAGTCGTTTCTAAGAACAGAAATAGAGGGTCATCACGGTCACGAGACTACATTGTGCTAGAACTCGGCCAGCTGGGAAACAGGTGGGAACCAGGGAACCAGGTGGAAAGACCAGGAGAACTGGGCGGAAAGATTGGAACAGCTAAGAAGGGACTCAACACGAGGACTCTCATAGGTTCCACTTTCTAAAGTTATGTAACAAGTATTTATGTAACTAAACACCACCATTATCATTTATTCTAATCTTAGGGGCTCAGTTATCTAGCTGAAGCTTCTCATTATCACCATACCATCACTATCTATTATAACAATAATGACGACTAATGTCATACTCTGATTGCTAGGTTAATAAATCAAATATATGGTCTTATCCTGCATCAGTTTTTGTAATTCCAAATGTGTCTGTTCTTACACGTTTAATTAAACTGTTAAGATATAATAGCATTTGGTGGGGGCTCATTAAATAATAATAATTCTGTACCAAGAGAAGGTCGACGGATTGGGTCAACTGCCCTGTCTAGTGAATCATTCAAGATAATAATATATAGACATCTAAAACCCATTTCCTTCTCTTGTGGGTACCAAGTTCAGCTAAAGTTAATATAAATAACGAGCCAATATGGCTGTTTTCTTGGATATCCAGGACTTTGTCTGAGAGCAACATAGCCCAGATAATAGTTCAGTTAATCTGGTGGAGGGGATGTGTTGAGAGGAAAATCCCTACTCAACATATAAATCATTTATACCCAAATCCAGAGAACCCACGACCCGGGACGTCACACTAGAAAGTGTTGTAATCTCAGGGGAGTGGGCCGTAACGTCACAATCAGCTGTTGTCACTTAATAAATGTTTGTTGACGTTATGCAGTTCTTTTCTTTGATTTTTATCTAGTTTTAAGTCATTTAGTTCTTGAATTTTCTAAATATTGGAAATTTGAAGAAAGAAAAATTCTTGTAAGCAACAGAGATAAGCAGCAAGTGTTGATGATATTAATGCAGTTGCTCAAGGCAGCAGGTGATGTAACCATAAACCAAGTGAAAGATTGTTTAAATGTTAATATTGGCAGAGGGGAAAAGTTCCAAAGCAGGGGACAAACATAATGCTGAAATTTCAAAGAAAGTTAATCTTAGAATTGTAATAACTGTGGAGAGGAATTACTATATTAGTTATGTCCCATACTATTGTTGTTGTTGTTGTTGTAAAAATATCCCCAAAAAAATATAAATGGCTAGTTGAAAAAATTCTAAGAGAGGAACCACCAGTTGAAAGAAGCTGCTTAGATCAAATATTTACCTTAATACCTAACTGAGTCGGCTCTGTGGCTAAGTCGATGCGAACGCTTAGTAATGTCGGGATGCTGGGTTCGATACCAGCTGCGGGCCATGCGCCTTGCGTTGATTTCGAGAGTGGTATCAAGAAAGCCGACTGTCCAGTGGGAAATGGCAAACTACTGGACGTAAATTTGCCTAGAAAAACCGCACAACAGCCAGGAGCTGTTGGGGTTGGTTCTGCAACGTCCTGTAAAGGATACGCAACTACCTTTGATGATATGACTAGTGTTTTCGTTTCAAAATGGTAACCACAAGTGCCTACAAATCTAAAGTATTTTTTTTTTTCTATAATGCTACACTAAATTAATTAACTATCAAATGTTAGTACATAATGTCTCAATTTTTACAATGAATGAGCTCCTTGAAAGAAATAGACATAAGTAATGCTTATAATATCAAAAATTAACGAAGAAAATACACACACAAAAACAGAGCTTGTTGGCGTGAAGAAGACTAATTAAACCCCATCAAAAATCAGAATTCAAAAAAATAGGAACAGGAAGTTTCAAGGCAGAGAAAAAAAATGTAACGGGCGTGAATTTCCAAACCAGAAATTGTTTCGTTAGAACACAATTGTGAGGCGTAGGGTCAGGGCAGGTCTTTCACCAAATGACATAATTCCTGAGAATGTTCTTCCTCGTCTTCATTCTTTCTGGGTTTTTGTTGTTGTTGTTGTTGTTGTTGTTGTTGCTGCCTTCTTTCTTTTTTTTATCTTTCTATCTGTTTTTCTGTCTTTCGTTCTGTCTGTCTGTCTGTCTGTCTGTCTGTCTGTCTGTCTGTCTGTCTGTCTGTCTGTCTGTCTGTCTGTCTGTCTGTCTGTCTGTCTGTCTGTCTGTCTGTCTGTCTGTCTGTCTGTCTGTCTGTCGGTCGGTCGGTCGGTCGGTCGGTCGGTCGGTCGGTCGGTCGGTCGGTCGGTCGGTCGGTCGGTCGGTCGGTCGGTCGGTCGGTCGGTCGGTCGGTCGGTCGGTCGGTCGGGTCGGTCGGTCGGTCGGTCGGTCGGTCGGTCGGTCGGTCGGTCGGTCGGTCGGTCGGTCGGTCGGTCGGTCGGTCGGTCGGTCGGTCGGTCGGTCGGTCGGTCGGTCGGTCGGTCGGTCGGTCGGTCGGTCGGTCGGTCTTTCTTTCTTTCTTTCTTTCTTTCTTTCTTTCTTTCTTTCTTTCTTTCTTTCTTTCTTTCTTTCTTTCTTTCTTTCTTTCTTTCTTTCTTTCTTTCTTTCTTTCTTTCTTTCTTTCTTTCTTTCTTTCTTTCTTTCTTTCTTTCTTTCTTTCTTTCTTTCTTTCTTTCTTTCTTTCTTTCTTTCTTTCTTTCTTTCTTCTTTCTTTCTTTCTTTCTTTCTTTCTTTCTTTCTTTCTTTCTTTCTTTCTTTCTTTCTTTCTTTCTTTCTTTCTTTCTTTCTTTCTTTCTTTCTTTCTTTCTTTTCTTTCTTTCTTTCTTTCTTTCTTTTTTCTTTCTTTTCTTTCTTTCTTTCTTTCTTTCTTTCTTTCTTTCTTTCTTTCTTTCTTTTCTTTCTTTCTTTCTTTCTTTCTTTCTTTCTTTCTTTCTTTCTTTCTTTCTTTCTTTCTTTCTTTCTTTCTTTCTTTCTTTCTTTCTTTCTTTCTTTCTTTCTTTCTTTCTTTCTTTCTTTCTTTCTTTCTTTCTTTCTTTCTTTCTCTTCTTTCTGTCTGTCTGTCTGTCTGTCTGTCTGTCTGTCTGTCTGTTTTTATTTCTTTCTTTCTTCCTCGTCTTTCTATCTCTTTGCCTTTCTGTCTTTCTGTCTGTCTTTCTTTCCGTCTGTCTGTCTGTCTAATTTTTCTTCATCATCATCATCTTCTTCATCATCATCATCTTCTTCTTCTTCTTCTCATTCTTCTTTGTTCGCCTTTAAATTGCACTTTACAGGTAGGCTGCAATATCTGTCTATTTCGACCCAATACATCCTATTTCAGCAAACCGCTTTCCCCTTCTACGATAGTTCTTATTAAGTAGACAGCGGAATTATTCCTACCCCAACCCAACCCTCACCACCACCAAAAATAGCACAACGGAAGCAAGGATAATTTATTATGAGATAACTGTTTGAAATTGACTTGTTCCCGCTACAAGTCGTAAATTTATACT